AGAAGACGAAAACATATTGGTTTCTGTGAATCTTTCAAAGGAAGAAATGCTTTGCAAACAAACAAGTAGGGAGAGAGAGAGAGAGAGAGAGAGAGAGAGAGCAGAAGACAAAAACATATTGGTTTCTGTGAAGAAATGCTTTGCAAACAAACACGTAGGTTCCAGGAACCAAGGAAACATACCATTCAGGGACGGGAGAAGTAAACTGAAACTAGAACCCCCGCGGTCCCCCGGTCATTTTGGCTGCACCTGGACTGAAAGTTGCCTTAAATACGGCTATAATGACCGGGCATTCTATTCGGGCGAAGACCGTAGTTAAAATGGCTAATATTGTAGTACTGGGCGGTACCAGCCAGGCCGTCCTGGTCACCTTGTTCAACCCGGTGGCCCGGGCCTGCAAAAGGATGAGGGAGGGTCCCATAAAAAAAAAAAAAAAAAACACAAAAAAGACTATGTTACTCAGAGGAATGAACTAAACAACTTTTGCTTCAGGGCCAGATCGAAATTCTATAAAGGCCAAGAAACGGGGGGCTGTGCGTCATACCGATCTTCGTCGGACTTGCATGGAGTCACATGGAAGCTTTGAAAACATTACATATGCAGATAAATAATCCTACGCTTCACCGACCCCGTCTTTTTCACTCTCCCTTTTGGGAAGAAGTGACGAAAAGGGAAAAGGACAAGAAAAAATAAAAATAAAAAAATCCTTGCACCTCTTTCTCAGCTGGGCTTCTGTCATGATCGGACATAATATACAAGCTTAAAATTGCTGGCACCACGAAAATGAAAGAGGAAAAAAAGGGGGCGGGGGGAGGAGGGGGGAGGGGGAAAAAAACAACAAAAGAGAGAAAAACATGAAGAGAAAGAATAGGAAAAAGAAGAAGCTGCAGTTTGCGTGGCTTCACTTTGTCGCTCCTTTCAGATATGCAATCAAGTCCGCTCGGTCCTGCGGACTTTTCAGACCGGCAAAAACCATCTTTGTTCCTGGAATATACTGCACAATGCACACAGACACAACAGACACACCAGACAAACAACAAAAACAAAAATGAGCACAGATTCGAATGCATCGCCCCCATCCACCAATCGGTCATCACGCACCACAATTCAGATGGAAAAAAAAAAATCAAAATTTTTTCTTTCTTTTTCCTGTCACCAGTGTGAAGTCCATTGCTTCAGTATAAACCGCTAGACAAGAGAGTAGCTGCGTTGTCCTTTGAGAGAGAGAGAGAGAGAGAGAGAGAGAGAGAGAGAGAGAGAGAGAGAGAGAGAGAGAGAGAGAGAGAGAGAGAGAGAGAGAGAGAGATCCGCCATAGCTAAGGCGGTAGTGGGAAGGAGAGGCATGAGAATAGCTGCGTTGTCCTTTGAACATCTGTGCTAGACATGGACGACAGGCCATAGCTTGCAGCCATGCCAAGTTGAGTCGAGAGAGAGAGAGGAAGCTGAAGTAGAGCTCTTTTCTTCTACATTGGCAGAAAGGGTGATCATTCAGACATTAACTCTTGTTCATTCTTTTGCTTTTAGTTTTGATTTTTACTTTTTTTTTTTTTTTTTTTAATGTCTTTACTCCATACTTAATGAAGAGGTGGAGGTGATTTTGTTCGGATGATGATGGCAGCGAGAGGAGGAGGAAGATGACATTGATTCCAGCTCCTCTTCTTCTTCTTCTTCTCTTCTCCTTCTTCTTCTTCTTCTTCTTCTTCTTCTCTTCTGCTTCTTCTTCTTCTTCTTCTTCTTCTTCTTCTTCTTCTTCTTCTTCTTCTTCTTCTTGACTGTGGTGAGGTGAATGTCATTCTCTTAAACTCTAGTTTCGCTTGAGATGGGACTAGGGGTTGAGAGGAGCTGTCGAGGAGGTCCACACTCAGGGGTAGAACAATGGTAAATCCTTCTCTTAAACTCTAGTTTCGCAATCACTGCCCCACTGTCTCTGGGTCCTTCAGACATAATGGAAGGATGCATAGAGAGGGTCATATATGTAAGGCCCAGCAAGGGACGCTCAACCCGGTGTCCAGTTTTCATAATGACAGATTGTTATTAAAAAAGAAAAAAAGAGTTTCGCTTCATGAAATGAACAGGATCAGAGCAGAGGGGA